GGGCACTGTACACTTACTGTTATGTTGCGGGTCTAACCTCATGTGAACGTAAACGATGACCATGCTGTGACGATGACGAGGATGATGACAATGATGATGGCAATGATGACGATGATCATGATGATGGTGGCGAAGTGGACGTTATCAGCCCCCACGCCACCCCCAAAACTTCAAGACCAGACCCCGCAAACAGCAAGCACGACTTTGGGCAACCAGAAAAATAAATGCCACGTCGGACGTTACAGGTCAGGAATTCCTGGATATTTACAGCCTTTGGCGGTTTTTAGGCTTAGGCCTAGCTGTTTTCGGCGGGGGCAGATTTGTATGGTTTGGGTCGCTTTTTTGTTGCTGGGCCAGTGTGGAATTATTGTTGTGTTGAGGGTCTAACATCATGTGGGGATGATGTGAGTACCGGAGCGTAAAAGATGACCATGCCGTGATGATGACAATGATGATGACAATGATGACGATGATCATGATGATGGTGGCGAAGTGGACGTTATCAGCCCCCCCCACGCCACCCCCAACACTTCAAGACCAGACCCCGCAAACAGCAAAAACGCGCGACAGTAATCCATGCGCTAGCTAAAACATGCTGTTTGCCGGCACCCTCCGGATGGCCGAGCAAGAATCGAGCTATGTTGTGCAAAAGGCAAAGAGCTTGCATGAGTAGACACACTTGCAGATGTACATTTAGACAGAAGTCGGCACTTCAGACGTCGTGCAACTTGTAAATTGCATGTAATTTGCTAGAAAAGAAGGAAAACAAAAAGAATACCGGAAAAAACAAAAAATACCTAAATTAATTCTGCAGCCATTTCGCATTGTCCCGTGAATGATGGTGCTCGTTCGCGCGCGCGTGTGTGTGTGTGTGTGTGTGTGTGTGTGTGTGTGCGTGCGTGCGGTGATGGGACAAAAGCCGTCATTCAGAGGGGCAACAAAGCCCTGCGTTTGCGTTTGCCGGAGTGTGGAGCACTTCCGAACTGTGAACCGATCGCTCGACTGTTTCTATTTCAATGGTGCTGTTCTCAAGAAAGAAGGATATGGTCAAATTCGAACACGTGTCAACAAAACAAAGGAGGACTCATGCTACAGCTAATTCATGTAATGTAAAAACACCTACTTGAGAAGCCTTCCTGAAGATGTCGCATCCCCACAAGGCCTCAAATCGGACAAGGGGGGGCGGGGCCATGTGGGCGGGGGATTTCGCACGTCCCCCAAGCCCTCACATACAACATGGAGTTCCGCCCGCGCCATCTGGATTTTGTGGCTGTCAATATGCATTTTTCTTGAGCGGCCCGAAACTACAGCATACTACAAGATACTACACGTGTTGAAGCTTTGGCCACGTGTGGTGTGAGCCGCTGCGGCATTTCAAAATTTCAACACCCGAAATCACTCACAAAGCTGGTTGGCACCTGAGTGAACAAGGAAGTCTCTGCCTGACCATGTGATACGTTCTGTTTGCCGTTGCAGCCGTGCTCTGCTGAGCAGCACCTGCTGCAGGACCAGTGGCTAGAACCGCCGCAGCAGGAACAGAAACAGCACGCAAGCAAACAAAGATGCTGCGTGCTGCTTTCATCTGACCTGGCGGATCTGAACCTCTGATATCTCCTCCTTGCCACAAGCGCACATACCTGCACAAACCACTTGTGACGTTACTTTGAGCACTTCAGCCTGCCATGAGAGCACTTCCCGCAATTGGCTCCGAGAAGGCGAGTCGATAGAAGTTCGCAGGCTTTTTGTCCTGCGACCGAGGCTTGAACTGGTCGATGTTACGCTGGAGCCAGCTGCCGAGCTGCCTGTGCCAACGCCGGCACCAGTTACTGTGCCGGCGGCACCAGCGCCTCCTCCAGTTGTGGGCTTCTCGCTGCTCAACTTGCAAGAAGTCTTTATAAGTATATGTCGATATGTCGATACAGAACTTCTTGGCGCTTGGCTTCGCAGCATAGCACAAAAAAAGAAACTGTGGTGCTTCATCTTACCATTTCCTGCATAATCCAACCGCCCGACGAGGTCCGGCTTTGCCGACAGATTCAGGCTGGGAGACTTCCACTGCCGTCAAGCGTTGCTTTTTCACGCAGACTGTTTCAAAGGGACAGAGCCTGGTTCTGCAGGTCGACCGGCGCAACTGCTCAAGCATTGGCTAGGCAGCAGCCAATGACAGGGCAGGCCTTGGCGCAACAGCAAGGAAAGCAGCAGGCGGCTCTCTTATGATGGCTACCTTCACTCAAATCAGGCTGAAATAATGGAGCCATGCAGTGATGAGCAGCGATGATGGTGGTCGTGGTGGTAAAGGTGCTACACTGCTACACTGCTGCAAGTACTGGCACGGCAGTAGTGCTACTCAAAGTCACTCAAAGTTGTTTTTGCCTTGTATGGTCGTGGGGCGGGGTGGGATGGGTTCCGGTCACGTCGGGGTGGAGCAATTTCCCAGCTCCACAGGCCTTCATGTCGACCGCAAGATCAACCCAAAGTCCCAGCTCAAGCCAGGGTGCATGAAAATTTGTTGGCGTTGTCGGGTGGTGTTGCTGATGCGGCTAATGCTGCTTGCAGCGGGGAGGTCGCTTCACTTGAAGCGCTTGTTCACATGGCTGCCACGCGAGTTTTTTTTCCCAGACTTTGGTATGCCGTTTCCCAGGCTGGGATCTAGGGCTGCTTTGCACATGAATCTCAGCAGAGATGACAACACAAGCGTATCGATACGTTCCTGCAGATTTGCAGCGCTGGCCGCACACGGATGCTCTGTAGAACACAGCCCTTAGGTTTTTCTTCGCTAGGTCGAGTGTCTACATGCCGATGAGTCGCTTCTTGCCTTTGACCTTCTTTGGCTCGCTAAACTGCGCAAGCCTGTGTGCAGTGCTCATTCATCATCTCCATCAACATCACGAGAGCATCAACCACGACAAGTACCAACAAATTCTGAGCCCCTTCTCCGCCGGATTTAATGGCAGCAGCAGCAGCCCTTCATCTCGAGCCATGCAACCAGCAACCCTTGCAAAAAAACGGCCTTCAAGAGGTGCTGTAGCCTTCGCAGAGTCTTGGGCCTGCCTCAAGCACATCACATCCGGAAAATGTGCTGACCTTGCGATGATTGACCACAGCCCGAACTCCACCGTTGTAAGTTATGGTTGCAGTTGTGGTTGTGGTCGCGGTTGTGGTCGTGGTTGTCGTTGTTGTTTGTTGTTTGTTGTGGTGACTGTGATTTCTGTTTGTTGTTTGTTGTTGAATGGTTGGTGGTTGCTGGTTGGTGGTTGGTGGCTGGTGGCTGGTGGCTGGTGGCTGGGGGTTGGCGGTTGGTGGGTGGTGGTGGTGGTGGTGGTGGTGGTGGTGGTGGTGGTGGTGGTGGTGGTGGTGGTGGTGGTGGTGGTGGTGGTGGTGGTGGTGGTGGTGGTGGTGGAGGTGGTGGTGGTGGTGGTGGTGGTGGTGGTGGTGGTGGTGGTGGTGGTGGTGGTGGTTGTGGTATGTGGTGGTATGTGGTGGTATGTGGTGGTATGTGGTGGTATGTGGTGGTATGTGGTGGTTGGTGGTGGTTGGTGGTGGTTGGTGGTGGTTGGTGGTGGTTGGTGGTGGTTGGTGGTGGTTGGTGGTGGTTGGTGGTGGTGGTGGTGGTGGCGGCGGCGGCGGCAGCGGCGGCGGCGGCGGCGGTGGTGGTGGTGGTGGTTGTTCAATTATCTTTTGGTGCTTGTTGTTGGTTGTTGTGGGCTGTTGGTGCTTGTTAGTTCCTGCTGCTCTGCTGATGTGCGTCGCTGCTGTTGCGGTTGCTGCTCTCGCTGTTTGGTGTTGATGATGACGAGATCGTTGTTGTTGTTCTTGCTGCTGCTGGTGTTGTTGTTGCGGTTGTTGTTTTGTGTCCGACGACTCTGCCTACACTTCTTTGTTGTTCCTGCTTACTTATGTCTGCCAAGAGGGGACTGACCATGTCCCCTGACCAAGCTGAAAGATTGAAGGGCTACCTCGCAGCTCGTTTGCAAGTCGTTGCCTGCTCCTATGGCAATGTCAGTCTGAAGCCAGAAGCTCAAGTTGCACAAGCTGCTGCTGCCAGAACTTGTACTGCTAGTGCCAAGCTCGTCAACCCTGAATTCATGAAAACCTGTGGCCACACGAAGTTCCGGTCACAATGCGCTTGCAAACGACAGCCTGTGCCACCCGCACCAAATATTGGATCGTGACCACACGCATGATACGTCGCGACATTTTCCGGAAATGTTAAACTTGAAGCTCGTGCAAGCACTATTCAGATCGTCCGGGGATGCATGTGCAGTTGGCAGGTTTGCTTCAACTACACGGGCGGCAAATGCTTTCGAGCTGACTGCCGCTTCCTACACATTGGGCCCGGTCCGAGGCTGTCCCGACAGCCCCAACAAGCGGGAAAGCAGACATGCACATGACTGTCGAAGAGATGCCATCTCTCGAAAACACTTTTGATGATCCTTGTCGGTGGCATGTCCTTTCCAGGTAGCCAGCGTGGTCGGGCTACCGTTTGCAGAGTCCCGGATGCATTAGCTTCGAGGCTACCTTCTGTCTCGGAGGTTAATTTTCGGTATTTGGATTCCCGCCGGTTTGTTCTCGCTGAGATATTGCGGGCACAGGTACGTGCAGCTCGTCGTCTTGCTTGAAGCCAGAAAGAGCAAGAAGGGAGTGCCCACGAATGATGAGAGCAGCCGCTCTTTTTGGCCGGCATGTCGGCAGATCAACCAGGGTCCAAGAATCTCGCACAGTGTTACGTTGATGGCAAGGTACCAGTTTGTGCCTCTCAGTGCAGGCAAAGTGCTTCTCGGTTGATCCGTATAGAAGAAAGAAACATGACGACGTGCAACCGGCCTTGGGCACACCACCTGCACGTTTGGCTGCAGCTGCGGCTGCTTGTGCCCACTCCGTTTCACAGCAGAGACGTATACCACATTTAGACGAAAAGCCGGTATGCTCACCCATGAGCAATGAGTCTCCACGAGTCCACAGACGTACGGAAGAATAGCAGCAGGCAGGAATTTGCTGAGGCGGCGAGTTCTGGCTGCGCCTCGGAAGAGCAGCTACTTCGCCACTTCCTTACTTTAGCACGGGAGCAGGATTGCACGCCCACTATGCCCATCAGCCCAGGTCACCGGAACTTGCACAAAGTGGCGGACGGTGGCGGGGCACCAAAAATCAAAGTCCATCAAAGGTCCCGATAAAGGCGTGGAGTCGTGAAATAAGCTGGCAGGCACTAAAGTGTGCGGACGAAGCGAATCTACAGGAGTGGTCTGGAGTGCTAAGGCCTGCCGCCCCGCCTCCGATTGTCGCAAGTTACTATCGCGTGTAGAGCGACTTTGATACCCGGCCCGATTCCCTCACTCATTCCACAAGGTTCGAGCATCCTTGTCTTGGACTGTAGCCTGCCAAGTCATGGCTTTCTCCCTCCAACGAGATTTCCTGCGAAGTCTCCTGAAGCTGGGGCTTACGAACGAATACAGTGACATAACAATTGTTTGCTGGCGCAACAACTGCCGAGAGGAAATACGGATGTCGAAACTCCTGCTTGCAACTGCTTGCCCAAGTCTTCCGGCACAGCTGAGGTGCGGCAGCGAAGTCGTTTTGCCGCTCACTGCTCCTACTTTCAAAGCGGCGCTTCTTTTGTCATGTGGCCTGGCGTTGAACGAATGTGATCCCGGCGTCGATGTCGACAGTTTGCGGGCAGCCGCTGCTGTCTTGAATCTGGACTTGCCACAGCTCGGCCAGTCCCAAGCGCTTACATCCTCCGGCATGAGACAAAGGCCAAGGCATCGTTTCTTGAATTCTGACGATGCAAACTGGGCTTTCATTACATTGCTCTGCATGACAGTCCTGGCGGCATGGGTGCCATCGCTCCATTACACGATGGAAAGTTTCTTTATGGATGATTCGATGATTGCAAGGAATCCCAATGTCTACATGGACCTTGATTTTCGTCGCTTGTTTTGCACCGATTACTGGGGCCTTGACATGTTCGCAGGCACCTGGACACACAAGTCGTTTAGGCCACTCACCGTACTGACATTTCGATGGAATTACTTGTTGCACGGCTTTCACTCTGCAGGTTTCCACAAAACGAACTTATGCATTCATCTGCTTTGTAGTGGATTCCTGGGTATACTTGGCACCCATGCGGGCTTGACTCGTCAGTGGGCTGGTCTTCTGGCGTTGCTTTTCTGTGCCCACCCTGTTCACACTGAAAGTGTGTTGTACATTGTTGGGCGGGCAGACTTGCTTTGCTTATTTCTGATTCTTGCCGCAACTTCGGTGCACTCCGCCTGTGGCACAGCTTGCGAGAACTGGGTCATCCTGGTCGGGATGACTTCATCGTGTGGACTACTTATTGCAGCAGGCCTGTGCAAAGAAACAGGCTTCTGCTTTTTTGGCCTGCTCATTGGGTGGGATATTCTCCGTCTTGCATCTGTGGCAAAGCCAAAAGCCTGGCTGCAAATGCGATCGATGCTATTGCTGCTTGTCGGCTGTCTGTCCTGTGCCTTTCGTGTTTGGTTTACGGGAACGACGATCGAGCGAATGGATCCGCACAGCAACCCCGTCGCGGCAGAAGGGAATGGGAGCGTGCGATTTCTTTCGTATGCCTTGGTGCATGGTATGTACGGGAAGCTTCTTGCCTGGCCAGTGCATCTATGCTACGACTACTCGTATGATGCAGTGCCACTAGTGCGAAGCTTCTCAGACGTTCGCTTGCTGCTGCCTTTGGCGGCGTACGCGTCATTTGCCCAGATGTTGACTGTTGCCGCGGGTCGGTTCCGGTACAGTGCCTTCAAGAAGACAGCGTTTGAAGCTCCGCTTCTGGGTATTGCAATCTTTCTTCTAGGTTTCGTCCCAATGTCCAACATGTTGTTCCCAGTTGGGACCATGATTGCCGAGCGCCTGCTGTACATACCATCTGCCGGACTTCTTCTGGCACTTTGTGGCTTTGCTCAGCAGCAGTTCTCTGCAACTTGGCTGCCCAAATTTGCAGCAGTTGTAGGCATACTGCATGCCTACCTCACAGCCCAACGGGTGCTGGAATGGTCGAGACCAGAGTCCATCACCGTAGCAGATGCTGCAAAGCAAAAGCGCTCTGTGCGTGTGCAGTACAACTTCGGTGCTCACCTTCTATCAGCACAGAGGTATGACGAGGCTCTGAGTGCCTTTCGACTGGTGATGGAGATCGATCCCTCCGACAGGGACTGCATGCCACTTTATCGTGCAGGGCAGATCCACTTCTACCAGAAGAATTATGCAGTCGCCGAGCAGCTTCTTGAAAAGGCAGTTCAAGGACAGTTTAGTCCATTGATACTCAATGAGGAGGAGGTGTTCCACGACTACGCATTGGCTCTTTGGTTTATGGAAAAGCCACATGATGCTGTGATGAATTTCGAAAAGAGCCTGGCAATCAACTCAACCTTCACGAAGGGACTGAACAACCTCGGTTGTGCCCTGGGGCTGGGTGCGCTTTTTGGCCGGTTGCCCTCGGAAGCCATGCACTATGGCATCGACCAACTGCAACAGGCCATCAGTCTAAATCCGCGGAGCCTTTTGTACTGGCGCAACCTGGTGGCTCTTCTTCGGTTCGCGGAAGAGGAAGACGTAGCTAAACGTGCCTGGGAGGAAGTGCTGACGTTGGATCCCACTGGAAGCCTGCCGGAAGATTGTAGCTGGGAGTTCGCACTTCGGTGAGGGCTTTGATGCTGCGCGACGTTGAGACGACGTCTTGCCACCATGAAGTATGGAGCCGGTCATTGCCATTGGCACAAGTTGCATTGCATTTGAAGTATACAGGCTTCGCTTCGTCCGGTGGAGAGTATAGTCATGGCAGCGGGAACGTGCGTGGGGAGCGGGGTGGACTCTAAGGCGGGGTTGACTGGTGAGGGGGAAGTCTCAGACCGCTTCGGCCAGGGTCAAGGCGACCATCTGCGTTAGGACACGTATAACATTCCCGCAGCCAACCGCGATGGACCCAAAGCCTTGCTGCATCTGGTTCGCTACGCCCGGCTCAAGAAGACCTATGACCGGAAATATAGGAGGATGTATTTTGCAGTTCACCCCTCCATCGAATCAGTCTTGAATGCCATTGTATCGGAGATCCTCAAACGTAACATGGTGCTACAGAACAGCACGGAACGGCACCGCGATCCGCTCTCGAAAGAGACATCCAAACAAAGTTGGACAGCTTGACTGGGAGCGGCGGACGCCAACAGTTGTGAGCAGCAAGTTTTTGCGAGTCCCCAGGCTTGCCCACCCTCTGCGTGCTATGCCGGAGTGTTTCTGAGAATGAGTTGGCACAGCGGCGTAGCGTAGTGCGGTGTGCGCAGCTTTGAGGGCAGCGCTCCTAGCGATACCGGGAGACCGGGTAGGTGGCAGGCTGTGTTCTGCCAGTACAGTGCCCACTGAGGTGCTGCGCTCCGTAGTGCTCAGACATGAACACGTGACGCGGTGAGAGAGAGAGAGAGAGGACACGTATAACCCAAGGCAAAATCTCAAGCATGGTCGAGTTGTGATTTGAGTTGGGCACTCTGGCAGGATCGGACAAAGAGGCCGTGAAGACTTTCAGATTTGGCGGGATGGCGACCGACTACAGGCACGACGAGATTGCCTGGATCGAAGCATGAGTTGAAGGCTGGCAGAAGACTCGTTCTTTAAAGGCCGTCTACCCGTCAGCACCGCAAGCCACCGGAACTGGTGAAGAGGCTCGCCCATGCAATTTCAAGATTTGTTTGAAGCCTTTTTCACGCATCATGTGTGTGCGATGCCAGGCATGCGGGCCTGATGAGTTTGGAAGTGGTCGTTACTTCCAGGCATGCTTCAAAGCACAGTAGCCAAGTGGTCAGGAGGACAGACTGGGGCAGTTGATGCCTGCTTGCACATGGTATTGCTTGTTGCCTCACCCGTCGCAAGCAAGCAACACACACACACACACACAGCCTGCCTGTGCCCCACCAGGGATATCCTAACCCCAGGCACGGATAGGAGGATGACAGAGCTGAGGGCTTGAAGTAGGCCTCCAGTCCCGGGGGAGGGATGAAACGGAGAGCAAGGCTGCAAGAGAATCGTAAGGCAACGCAGTGTTGTGCAAGGCTCCACGGTCGGGTTCAGGCAGGTCCCGGTGACAGGAGGAAGGCGGAGTGCCGGAGGCTGAACACGAGCCTAAAGCTTCCTCGGTCTCCGAGACCAACCTTGTTGCTCTGAAGATCATCATGTGCATCCAAAAATGTTTTTCTGTGACGGAAGAGGGATGAACGAAACGAGCACATGGAATCAGAAGCAGAAGACTGTCTAGTGGAAAGGCAAGTCCGAGCCACAAAGCTGAAAACGAAGATGGCACGACAGAAGGAAACGGGCAGACTCAGGCAGAGTGAGCTCACTTCTTTGCAGGTAAGAGGCCGTCCTGGAGAAGAGGTTCCGCTGGGCTTCAGATCTCTCGATTCCAACCCCCATGTCCAGCTGTCGGCGCAGGTTGAGCTAGCACTCTATATCGAGGACGGCAAGGTGTGACGCTCCTGGAGCCCTCAGTCGCTTGCTTGCTGCCTTCAGAGGCTTGCGGGTCACAAGCTCTTTTGACCTATGGCGCTTGTAGGTGACGGTTCGAACGTTCACCGTCGAATCCAGACGTTCCAGGCTCACCCCTCACCGCATTTTGCTCTGTCCGGCCTGACCCCTTTCTTGCTTGGACGGTGCTCATTGCGCTTCCAGAAAGCAAGGCAGTGGGAATCTGTCCGTGGATGGGTTTGGGCCTCGGAGTTTCGAATCGCGCTGCTCAGCCGAAGCCGCACTCAGCAGGCCCGGCATTCCTACAGCATTCTGCAGCCAGGAGGAGGCTGATGGACCGAGTCGTTTAACGATCAAGAAAATTTCATGCAGCCGGGTCCTGCAAGGACCGGGCATGCCAATGACGTGGCAGCCTTGGTGCGTTGAGATGGACAGTTCCTAATGTTGGATGCTGCGCTCATGCAAAACTCATGTGATATGGCCACTGGTGGAGAGCGACGACCGACCACGGAGGTTTTGAATGCTGACCCACTTGCATCCCTCGCCTGGTGAGTGAGTGATCTCGAAACACATTCGGAAATAATTTCATTGCGAAGCAAATTTTCCCCTACTAGGAAACTCAGATTTTTCATACTACGTCCTCTTTGAGCGTCTTTGGCCCGTGTTGGGAAGCCCGCTGGCTATGACTGCTCTTTGCATGAAGCCGGGTCTGGGTATCTGAGCGGGTGGCTACGTGCATATTGCCTTGAATGGGCGAGCCGTGCGAGTCGGAATGAAAGTCGCACCACACAAACTGAAAAGAATACGTCCCGCGTCAGCTTGTGCTTCTCCAGTCTGTTTGATGGATGCCGGTCTCGGTCTCTAGAATGATGAAAAGCACTAGTGATGAGTCGCGTCCCGATTCCATTGTGGGAAACCCTACTGGTTGCTGCAGAGCTCGCAGAAACAGCTGTATCACTGCCAACGCCAAAGCGACCGCGTGGCAGGTGTGTACAGAAGTACCTACGGGCAAGGAAAGGTAGTCGAGTCGGGCTCGCCTCCAGTAAGTCCGGAACGGGAGAGTCCGGAACAGGCCAATGCCCAGTCAAGCATGCCCAGGAGATTAGTCGGGAATGGCCCTCCGCGGGAGTCGGGTTTAGGGTTGTTCCTGACTGCGCCCTCGTGTTCTGGCCGACTCCACCTCGTGCCATATTCCTGACCCCTGCTCGTTCTCGTTTCTGACTTGCCCCCCGCCTGTTCTCGACTCGTGCGTCCGACTCGCCTCTCATCCTTCGGGCAAGGGGTGGCAGACCATGTTGAGACTGACCGGCTTTTCCCTGCCGAAACGGGCTGAACAGCGCGGAGCATTCGCTCCAGGAAGGCCATTGCTAGCCGCCGTTCTGTCAAAGCTTCAGTGGCCCTCGAACCTTGAGACACCACAATTGAGGATGGATCCACAGCAGCCTGGTGTCTTCACATCGTTAGCGGTTGTTGGCCAGGCGGACAAACCACAGCATCACCATGCAAGCCAGAAGCAACCAGCCTTCATGCAGGTGTTTGACAAGCAGGCAGGCGCCTTCTGCTTCCATTTTCAGGCGCGCAAGCTCAACGAGCTGTTTCCTTGAACCTTATAGAGTTGTGCGAGGGTGCGAATCGAAACCCTCGACTGACTGCTTCTTTTTCTTCTTCTTGCGTAGGTTGCAGTTGATGGTGACAGTCGCTGGGTGCACCTCCCAGTCAGCCGGGCTGGAGGGCAATCTAACTCGGAGAATCACAAGCGGGTCTCGCTATTGGCTAGCGGGAGAAATTCCAGTCTGGTCGCGCCGTTTACTGCGCTCGCAGTTCGACCGCTGTTTGGCTCCGGTCCAGGTCTTTTTTCCAAAAGGTCCTGGAGGGTTGTCCGGCGAGGCCAGCTCACACTGCCCTTCTCGAGCCGTACTCAAACGTTATGAGTTGAGGTCATCGTTAATCCGCCACCTTGCCATGGAAACGGCGGGCAGCTTAAAATGTCCCTCTTGAGCTCACTACGCGACACGAAGTGACAGCCTCCACCTCAGCTTTGCCTCCTCGAGGCTCTGACGTTGCATTCACCATCTTTAGCCCGGCACCAAACAGGACTTCGCAGACAGGATTTCTAGTTAGAGCTTGTCCTGGGCTCCCGCATCCTCCAGGCATGAGGTTCGGCCCGGGGTGTCAAGGTTGAAGAACCGAGAGATTCAAGAAATGAACCGCTGTGAAATTGTGAGACTGCGAAAATTGTCTAAAACGTACATTCAGCGTTCTCAGTGCGACTTGGACCAGCGCTGCAAAAGCGATGACGATGTGCTGACAGGACTTTTGAAATCATTCTGGACCTCACATCCAAGGCACGATGTTTGGAATCGGACGGTCAAGCTTGTTGTGCGCTGCAACCTTCGCAATCGCCAGCGTGTTCTGCCAACGCACAGAGTGTTCGGCTTCTCGAGAATCAGAAGGTCTTTCTTCTAGAGCTCGGTGCTCCTGCGTGGGACCACCGAGCATTCAAGAAAAAAGGCGAGGAAGCATGCGACCGCATCGACAGATATATAAGCGTTAGCAGCGAAAGCTCTGCAAACAGTTAGAGTTCAGGTGCTTGTGAGCAATCTCCTGCGATTAGGGAATGAAGGTCGCAGAAGGTCCTTTTTCTCTGCAGAAGGTCCTTAATCCACGTAGATTCCTGCGCAATGACTCTTTCATGCCAGGATCGCAGACAGACAGTTACTTGGAGAGCTGTGTGAGCCGGTTGCAGCCTCCAGCCCGTAGTATTCCATCTTCCCGCATGGCACACTGCAGCTTCGATAGGTTAATTGCCGACGGAAGCGGTGCCGCTTAGGCAGAAAAGTGCGTTGTGCAAGCGCACAGCATGCACATGTCAGATCGAAAGTGTCAGAAGCTGCATGTCCTCAACATGTGCGGTCAGCCATAGTGCCGAATCATGGACATGCCAAAGCACAGACACACGCGTACAGACTAGCATCCCATGCTCAGGGCCGTTCAAGAACTGACGCCGCAGTCAGCCAAACTCGTAGCAAGAGTCTCTTCCAGTTTAAGCCAACTGCAATGGGCGCTGCCCGGGACTCATTCAGGAGGTTCTGGCAACTGTGGCGGTTATCAGTGCCCAGCCATTTGAGAGGCTCAGGCTGTAGCTGAGACGAGAACTTCCCCGAGAACGCAGGCTTGCCGGAGTAGTGTCAGATTTGCTGCATGTGACAGTGAGAATCGTCTTCATGTGAAGTTTTGCGTGCTGTGACTGTAACCTCCGGAGGGCGGCATATTTGCAGGGCGTGAGGATTGCATCTTTTCCGACAGGGCCTGCTGGCTCGAACCTGGCAGCGGAACTTCTGGTGAGCATGTGCTTGCGTGAAACGGGGACCCTGGTCCCGTTCAACCTGTGAAACTGCGTGCAGGTCGTATGAGAAATCATGTAAACAATGAAGGAAGAGGTGCGGCGGCACGCATCCGGAGCGGGCTTCTGGACCCTGCCCGCAACATCGTGACTACGGCAGGTGCTTAGACACATGGCTGCGCGTACCGAGAGCCCCTCCCCTGCAGACACTGCCCATACCGGCCTCATTCTGCTGGAGGGCTGGCTCCCTCCGGAGAAAGGATGGAGAGACAATTTCAGAACTTCTGGTTTGGGAGGACCTCTCCGACGGCGAGCCAGCTGCTTCGCCGAGCTCTGCAGCGGATACTGCCCCGAGACGAAGCACACATCGCCAGATCAGCTTCGCCTTTGGTGGTCAAGCTGGCACCTGGCTTGGGTTTGCTTGAAGACGAGCTCGCCGGGCTGAACAACGACCGACAGATACAGATCTTGATCTTTATCTTCACCTCTGTTGCTTTTGGGAAGATCTGACAAGCCTTGCGGGCCTTGTTTGGTTATACCGAGGAGGGGCTGAGGAAGCCCCTTGGCATGTCGGGTCAATGACTTGTGCTGGTTGTTGGACGAGAGCTGGGCTGATGCGGCAAGAATCTGAGACCTACTGCGGCTCTTCGCTGTAGAAGAGGATCGCGCCGGGCTAGCGGCTAGGGCATGGCTCCTGTTCTGGCGGCAAGCCAACCGCACCCTGGCATAGGCCGGTTCTGGCCATGAAAAAGGCTTGCTATTGTCTGTGCGAAAGATTTCGAAACGAACTACGCGATCCGCGGGCCTGGACCCGACGGTCCGATCCCGCCTGCCCGAACGACCTCGAGGTCCACTGACGACCTACGAGACCTTGTACTTTGGGGTTGAGATGCCGAGGGAGGTTCCAGCCCTGTACCACTGCTATTGGAGCAGAGCTCCCTTCCGAGGCTGCCGCAGAACGAGCAGACAAATTTACGTGATGAGCCTCGCGAGGCGGCTTACTTTTACCTGATAGCATCGACTGGGCCGGGGGCTTTGTCCTTGACACCGGCGCCACGGAGAATTGCGCTGACTACTGTCTCAGTTCGGGTACGGCTTATCTTTGAGGGCATCTTCAGCCGAGAACACGCAGGCACCTGGTGACTCGTGTGGAACCCCTGCTCAAGTGGAGGACAGTAGGGCCAGGGACAGGCATTCGGGTCCGAACGGCCCGGGCCCAGCCACGATGCTTTCCGCTCGTGTCCTCGTCTCGTGCTATTATGGAAAGGTGGCAAGTGGAAGCGTGTTTTGAGCTGAAGGAGACGGCGGCCACAGTGCTTTCAATCTCGAGTGCGCCGGCTTCTGAACGACAAGCTCTCCACAGGAAAGACAAGCTCCTCTAAAACTAACGCAGGCTTCTTTTGGTCCCAGGACAACCTCGAGGTCCAGAACAGGACGTGGTCCCGCTGCTGGTTCACAGAGGTCGCCGTCAGGTCGTTCACCAGAGTTCCCTCCACCGCCGACAAGCGCTGTTCGACAAGAGGCGGTTCGGTGTCTGACAAGCTAAGATCGTGTGACCCGAACTGGGACAAAGTGATGTCCATCCGTCGGGGGTCCTTACTGGAAAATCGGACAACCACACAAAAGCTCGTGCCGGTGTACCACGTCCGCAACGTCACCGACGTGGACACAGCGACGCTTGTTGTCCTCTTCGTGCTTTGGCTTGAGCTCCATGGCGGCAACGTCACCCGCCGGAACTTGGAGCCCGACCTTTGCGTTCATACCTTACATTACCTTACCAAAGGCCATGACTCGGAACCTCAGTTCGCTTCGAGGTCTTCGGTCTTTAAGGGCTTGCGTTGAACTCACTCTGTCGTACCACCATACACACCAAGCCTCGCCGCACCAGCGTCGGCAGATGGCTTGACGAAGTCTGCACCGTCTGCTCGAAGAAGGGCTCCTGGAGTTCCTGACCAAAGGTCACGGATGGAACATCGTGTACGCTCCCGTCCTTACCGCATCTTACCGCATGGGAAGAAGCTTGACAAGGCGAAGTTTCAAGTCTTACGTATAGGCTTGTCGAGTCAAGCTCCGCAACTTCACTTATGAAGGATATGAAGACATCTTCCCATGTTTTGGTGATGTTGAACCTGTTGAAGCGTCGACGGGAGTTGCGTATCAGCACTTCCGCTTCTCTCATTGGCCGGAGATTTATAGCTAGAAAACACGATCGACGGCGTGGCGGGCCAGGCATCTTCACTGCTCGAACCAGCAAGCCCTGTCTCAAAGATGCAGGTACGGAAAATGGTTTTTTGTCTTCGGGTCAGTACCGAGAGATCCCGCCCTGCGGAGGTGGCAATCACAGCATGCCAGACCTCACATGAAGACTGTTCTCACATGAATAACATGTCCTCGAGGATTTGCGCATCTAAGTCGTACACATACGGTTGCGGCACGTGCCGTCAGAGGTAGATCAAGCCGTGCTGGACTCCAGCATGCTGTGTCAATGGAGGTGCCGGTGCCTACTCGGTTTTGCCGTCAACTGTGCTGCGAAACTTCCGGTGAAGATGCAGGGCTCCAAGTTAAAGTGGAAGTTTAAGTAGTTGAGTCATGTGCGATGCGTGCATCACGAAATGCAGATCATCGAACTTTTCGACACGACTGCGAAGTCGACCATGGAGGAGCACTGCTAATCATCCCAAATTCTTGCAGCACGCGAACACATGTCAGGACCCATCGTCCAGCACCCTCATGCTACAGCCGTCCTATCAGAGGTGCCGGCACTCCAAAGTTAACCATTGGCATCCTGGGCCCCACATTCGCCCATCCGGTCCGAGATCTGGACAAACGGGGTTAGCCGCACCCCAGGCTTGTGTCGCAGGCCGAGAGGCAGAGCGACGCAAAGATGTCAACGATGTGCAAGGTCCATGCAAAGCTGTCAAGGAAGTGTAGCAGTGGAACCGCCAACAAAACGAGGAGTTTTGAGGAAGTCTTCTACCTTCTTCTATTGCAAACTACCACTAAGTAGTCGCGACCCCGAACAATCCATACACCATGTTGCCCATAGAGGGGATAGCAACACGTAGATGGCCGTTTGAGCGCGTGTTGAAGCAGACGTTTCCGAGAAATGTAAGTGCAGTATATGCCTCTCTTGTTCCGACAGCTGTTCGCAAAGGGGTAAGACTTTGCATCGGAGTGCCCCATGGTACATCTCTGGTACATCTGCACAGGCTCCAAGTCAAAAAAGACAGGGGTAGACCGGTTCAACCAGTCTGTGAGCAATAGAGGCCGTCGCAAAGTTATTCAATAATAATGCACTTCTTGCGAGCGATCATCGCAAGACTCCTGCAGGGCCGCAGGTTGGCCAGAGCACTTTGAGCGCGAGCACTGCGCTTGGATGGAGATGCCAAAATAGGAGGCCGAGAGGCCACCGCACCTCCATCTGCAGGTAGCTGACGGCTTGACTTCAAAGGTTGGACGAGCTCCGCATCCTGGGAGTCCTCGGCTTCGAGCTCCGAGGCGCTTCGCTTTTGCTTGCATATTTTGAACCTGCGGCAGTTCACTTGGCGTCATGTCGTGGCATGGCCATATGTACCTTCGCTACGATGACTCCGGGAGCTGCACATGGGCATAGCTTGCAGGCAGCCAGACTTCACCGAAACTCGCTGTGCTTTTGTATCAGTTTGCACAACTGCGCCCGGGCATCATGGAGCACATGCCCGGTGGCCATACCTAGCTTCCCCCCTCACAATGTGAGCAATGGGCAAAAAACACGGAAAAGCAAAGCAGTGCCTTGGCTCACCTGGGCACTTCAATCTTGTAGTGTGATTGGTCCCGAGATGGCATCCAAGGATTGTCCCGAAGAGCAAAGATGATAAGCCTGGTTCGCCGCCAGCGGCCTTTGCAGTCGAAGCTCCAAAGCCAACGCTTCTCGGCTGCCGATGGTCACTCGAGCAGTGAGTCTGTGTGCAGCATCGATGGACCGTTTGGACTTCGGTGCCGGAGCAGGCTGAACAAGCGTGGTTCGAAGCGAAAGGGAAAGGCTTTGGCAACCCAGGTTGCAAAACCGCCACAGGTCGGCCAGCCTGTCAAACGGTGCGGAGGTCCTCAGTTTTTTTGTTTTTTCGTGTGCTTTATGACCCGAAAGGAAGCCACAAGTGGCCGATCAGAGTCCATCGACGACATTTTCTCAAAGGCAAAGTCAAAGACTGCTGCCGCCGCACAGCCAGAAGGAGGCAGCTGCCAATCCAATGAAGGGGGCTTGTCATCAACGGATCCAACTTGCTGCAAGCCCATCGCCCATGATGCAGGCAGCAAGCGGCGGGCCCAAACGGGTGATGGGCAGAAGCAGAGAGAAGTCAAGAAGCCCAAACGCGGTTCTCTAGAAGATCCCTTTGGACGGCAGGGTGCTCGAACCACCGTTGATAAGAGGATAGGCCGGCCTTGTCTTGCACTGGCTTCAGTGAGGTAGGACTTACAACATCACATCTTTGCTTCGCTCGGGAAGCATACAACATGACTGTGTACTTGCTTTCTCAGGTCTAGCGACTGGACAGATGACGGTCTCGGTGGCATCTACAACCAAGAAGGGTGGACTGGGAGGCGAACCAAGGATAAGTTGCGCATATTCAAGGCGCATCTGATCAAGGTGGGAGAAGGCGGTGGCACGCCTCAGTGTCCATTCGACGCTCAGATGCAAATCTTACAATTGCTGGCCGAGCTCCGAATCGCGTTGAGATCTAATTGCCCGATCTACTATAGTAGCTGAATCTAGGTTGTGACATGGGAGTTGGTGCCGGTCATCGGCATATCTGAGGACTGCTCTTGCTGCTACTAGTCCCTGGCAGCGCTGGTTCTCCCATTGTGGCATGCGGTGAAAATGCTTTCTTGCGCACGTGCCATACTGTGAGGCTCCCTCTTACAGTTAGAACATGAGTCAGGTTTTGGCCCACGGTGTGCCCCTCAGACTGCCAGATCTGTTTCGATATTCTTGATGAGAGAGTGTAAGGGCAATGCCATGACCCTCCCAAACTCATATCAAGGTCATGCAAAACCCTTTGACTGTGTCTTGGACGGCCGACTGTTCTAGTCAAAGTCGTGGGTTTCGCGTCAAAGCCCGAAAGCCATCGGAAGCTCGCAGTCGTAGTCATACCGCTGTGCACCTCAGCCGCGTGCGAGGCGCTTGAAAATCTCAGATGTTCGTGGAGTTCTTTCAAGCGCAATGCGAAGCCCAGCTCTGTGGAGCTTGCGGGAGTTGTCGTTTGTCACTTAGGTAGTAGAGAACTAGGTCAATTTTGCGTGCACGACCTTTCTGGTCCGTTCACATTAATAGCTACAGGCGGGGTGACGGGTGGTGGCCGCAGTGATGGGTTGAGAGCCGTTAAGGAGAGGCCCCCACCCCCTCCCCCCCCCACCACAAGGTCCCGGCAACATTTTGTAAGGTGAGGCCCCCCTTTGCCCCCCCGTCCATCATGGCTCAGAGCCACATGGCAACTTGCGCTTTGTGCTTACTTGACCGAGTGCGCCTATGTAGCAGGCTCACGTCTGACCCCTCAGTCATAAGCCAAGCTGCCACCAAGACAGATCGAAACTGCTCGTAGATGGCCGAGTTATTGCTGACGCAAGGACACTCCGACGCGCAATGAGGTCGGTCAAGCGACACACGTGTATCTTTATGTAGGGCAGTGTCAAGGAGAACAGTGCTATCATCTTCCAGGCTCAAGGTGCATGGCACTACATACATGCTTGCATCCACGCTGCCCTGACGACTCTGCTTTCTTTTTATTTTTTTGGCGAGTGGGGATGTGTGATTCCAGGAGTCGGCTGTAGCATCATGTCACTATTCAGCCTCCTGCGTCTCCCAGCGACGATGCGGATTTGGGTATCGCATTCTTAGCTGTTGTTTCGCTGCAATCTCATGATGGTGCAGTTGCGCGTTGTTGTTGCAGTCGTGTGGCCTAGCTTTCGTAGCCCTCTTCTCAAGTTTTGTGGAATTCTTACGACAAGTCTTGAGCTGTCACCAACATCAGGCGAAGGCAACCCAAGTTTCGCGGCACCTTCACCTTGACAAGTGATAGGACCATGCCGTAACAAAGGAGTTGGTTGACAAACGACAGGTTTGCCGTGGAAGAGACGGCTGTGGCAAACCGATTTCAGACGCAACGCGCCCTCCCAGGCCCCCGCATCAGTTCCGTTCTGGAGCTGTCTACACTGGTCCGTGTCTTAAGAGCCGTAAACGTGCCATACCTGCTTTGCGCCTTTACTTGCCCGTGGATTTGCCAAGGCCAGTGGTGTGGCAATCAGCGCCATGGTTTCGGACGGCAAGTGTGGCCCGACACCTACTGAAACAGCATCCAGAATCCAGGGCGCATTCCTTGACGTTTAAGCAGTCAGGCCAGATGGAGCGCAGTACGAGGGCTGCTGGCCGGATCGATGGCAGACTCACTTCAGAATTTCGCTCGAAGGGGAGCCTGCCAGGTCCAACAGCAGTGCCTGCGGGTTCGTAGCTTAGTGTGGCTCACGCCTGCAAAATTCGGCTGTTAAATCGGGCACGAACGAGGCTTGGTCGATTCAAGTTTCCTGACGGTTCTGCTGGATTCTTAACCATTCTTAACCTGTGCAAAAGGCTCCGGGCCTGGTAGAAGCTTAGCAGCTTAGGTGTACCTGGGACACTGGCGCGGAAATCGCTTCCACGGCCTGCGGCATACATCAACGCTTCCTGAGTTATTGCCAGGCAGCCTCGTAAAACTCCGCCTGTCGGCTTAGTAGATTGGCAGGCTTGGGGGCACACTACCTTGCAGATGGTTCCTCGTATCATGGTCAGTGGGCGCGGGCCTATGGAGCTTCGAAGCAAATCCAGTGTCCAAAAGAAACGGTTAGCTGGTAGCTATGTAACGTAATCAATTAGTGGCACCGGCAAATATGAAGAGGACAGTCACCGAAAAAGCAGATGCAGCGAGCGAAGAAGCCCACCGGAGTCGGTGCAGCCAGATCAGCTTTCGTATACATGTTGCGCGACGCTGCTGCTGGCAGGCCACCGGTGGCTGGACAGGCTTCAAAAAACTTGCAAGCACCGGCTCAGGAACCAAACCATGACCCAAAAGTCCTAGTTTAGTGTTTTTTAATATCGCCTGGCTGCAGCTCTGGTCATCAAGAACAAATGTTCCCGCGCAAGACACCGCTTTCGTGGCTGCATCGAGTTAAGCATGTGGTCGACTTCCAGGCGAGTTACAGTCGCTGACGAGCGATTTCCGACAAAGGCTTCGGCTTGGTTCCAAACGTGGGGTTTCAGGCTACCAGTAGCACAAGGGACTTGACATCCGACCTAAAACGGCAGGGATCTTGTGTTCTCCGAAACAAGGTGTGAAGGAGGCATGTTCTAGCTCGGGTTTCACGCCTAGGGTGGGCTATGAGTCCAGGACATTATGCCCAGACACGATCGGACGCACAGACCAGCAGTTGTGCGACTTCTCTCGGGAACGGAGGGCGCCTTACCTGTAAGAAGAAGACCCCAAAAAGTTTATAGTAGTTTACACGCGCAGGACCAGCTAGCAGGAGGTTCTTTGGTACTCGTCTTGGTCGCCTTGTTACTTGTGGCAACGGTGGTTCTATTGGTCGTGTAGTTGCTCTTGCTGGTGGTGTGTTGTTCATTCGGACATTGCTGTTTCTGCTGTACCTGCCGTATGTTGAGTCGTTTCGTCGTGTTGCTTGACATGGCCCAGTACCACTTTCGTCCAGGAAGCTACGGGCAGGTATTGAGCAGGACGATGTTTTGCAACTGACTTTACAGTAGGGTCGTGACATTCTGCACCCGCTATGAATCGCATCTTGGCGTGTGCTAGGTCCACGGGTCTCGAGATGGCGTTGGCGTGGAGACGTGCCTCCGACTCAGAAAGCTTTGCCCAAGCAGTTTGCCATGTTGTCTTCCACGGTTCAGTCAACTGTGTCATAGCGATTCGGTTCTGTTTGAGTCGTGCTGCTTGCGATGTCAGAATCTTGAAATCTTGGATCAGGAGAGAATCCCGAAAGCAGATAGTGGTTGGACTCAGTTACCGATTGATCCTGTCGAGAACGTGAGGATTTGACGTAGCTGGTAGGCCTGGTAGGCAGACGCTCCGTGCTGCAAACTGCTTGGCATGGGTGTTTGTACGGAGGATATAGCAGTTTGTGAGCAAGTCCTCAAAGCTGCGCTGGCAGATGAGGCTTTGTTGATGAATGACGGCTTTCGAGCGATGCGGGTGCTCATGTCACAGCTTGTTGATAAGCTACGACAAGGCGGGAAGCCTGCGCGGAAGCCGAAATCAGGAAGGACGTCCTTGCCCAGCGTCGTCTCGGAAGATGAAAAGCAACGGACATCTTACAGCGTGTGCGAGGTCAAGCCCGCACAGTTCAGCCGCTTAGTCTACGCCAATCCGGTCTGCATACTAAGTTCCTGCCAAGGCAGCGAACGAAACCTCATGACAGTCAGCTGGCTGACAGCCGTGGACAACAACGGTCATTTGGTCCTTTCCCTAAACAAGCGCCGCCACTCTGCTGGCAACATACTGTCCTCTCGTGCTTTCGTGTTGAACGTGCCTACTGCCCAACTTGCCCAGACAGTGCTGGAAGTTGGTGGCTGCAGTGGGGCAACTACCGACAAGATCGAACGCTTCAGCGCACCTCTGGGTGGCTTCTGCTTACCAGGATGGAAACCACTAGGAGCCTGGCCTCCATCTGATGAAGATTCTGAGGCCGGGAAGCCGGTGTTTGCCGTCAGCGGATGCGTAGCACACTTGGTCGTCCATGTGCTCGCGGATCTTGACGAGATAAGCTCCCATCACCTATTAGTTTGCAAGGTGATCCGGGCTTTCGTTCGCAGTACATACTGGGATGGCAAGGTGTTTTCTCCGCGATTGGATATTGACGTACTGACCCCACCTTACATGTCCTTCTTCGGAAGCCAGACTTTTGGATATGTGGTTCCAAGCTATTGTGAACAAGGCGGCGAGTAGCACGCATTTTTCGCTGGAACAGACTGGCCACGACATCCAAGGCTCCAGAGTTGGCTGAAGGATGTGCGCAAAATTCTGCTTTGCCAGAGCATTGAATCGCCATGGAGCTGTGCCTCGGCGTGGGCAATAGGAATTGAACGAAAATCACTGGACCGCAGTGCGAGAGAGGGCGGCGGCCGACAACGAAGATTGTTGTCTTCGGGCAAGTTTCGCGAAGAAATGCAAGGGTGCATCCCAACCTTTCCCAGCACATGTGTTCTTTTTATTTAGGGGCTGCGCCCAGGTGCGGGCAGCGCGAGCTGTTGTCAGAAACCCGCGGTATATAGATAAGTGCAACGTAGGCCCGAAGTGCGCAACTTGTGGGTGATCGTAGGCTCTCAGCCCCGCATGTAGCCCGCACCCCCCGTCCGCCGGACCCCGCTGATGCTCATGATGCGCGCCCTTTGGCGGCTTCCGCAACCCACTCCAAAACTTGGGAGTTATGACTTCGCGCCCACGTCGCGCCGCCGGCGCCGGTTGCGGGCGCCCGAGGGCTCATGATGCTCGCCGGCTCGCCTCCTGGGGTCGTCCACGGCGGCCCCGAAACCCGCCACACCGCGGGGAATGGCTGCAAAACGCGTGCGCGTTCCGAGACGCCTTCGGGCCAGGCCCCGCGCGGCCCGAGGGAGAAACGAGGGTCCGATGATGCGGGGTCCGGGGCGGGTCGGCGGCACTGTCGGTCGTGGCTTCTGCTTCGCAGACGAAGCTCATTCGTCTGAGCCATAGCTCAGTCCATACAGGGCAGCGAAGCGCTGCCCGATTTAATGGCTGCCGCCAATGCCGCCGACCCCAGAAGCCGGCAAGAGGACGAGCAGCCCCCATGGAGACTTCATGTCATATTCATGTCATAGTGGTTTATCTGTAACATTTCTATAGTATACTAGGGTGTAGGATGCCCAAGGGAATTCTCCGATTAGCATGGCTCCTGCGCAAGGATGACACGCACGAATCGAGAAGTGTGTGGTACCAAAAGTACTTGGAACGACACAGAGAAGATAAGCATGGCTCCGCGCAAAGATGACACACACAAATCGAGAAGTGTGTTGTACCAAAACAAGCCAAGCAAGCCCTTGGAAGGAGACAGAGAAGATTAGCATGGCTGCTGCACAAAGATGACATGCACATGAGAAGTGTACCTTCAAGCCCGAGTTTGCAATCTTGCTTGTAATGGCCGGGAAATCTTTTTAAGATGCATTGTGATGGGAGAGATCATTACAATTATTGATCTTCAACGAGGCATTCTAGTAAGCGCGAGTCATCAGCTCGTGCTGATTACGTCCCTGTCCTTTATACACACCGCCCGTCGCCGTCCTCTTGGTGTTCGACAGCGGGAGGCCGGCGTGTTAAAGGGGTGGGGGGCGGTGTAGTAGTTGTAGGCTGGCAATAGGGTTTCGCCTGCAAAGGCGGTTAGGGTTTCGCCCTCCGTGGCGGTTAGGGGTTTAGGGCGCCCTCCGTGGCGGTTAGGGGTTTAGGGCCTCAGGGTTTAATAGGGTCTGGGTTTGAATGGTCGGGTTTTGGGCTGGGTCTAACGGGGCCTGGGTTTGAGTGGTCGGATCTGGGCTGGGTTTTTCGGGTGTAGCCTAGAAAGGCGGTTTGAAAATTAGATCCGGTGGCGGTGGTGAGGGTGGTAGCGGCAGTGAGGGTGGTGAGGTGGTGGGGGCGGTGAGGGCGGTGAGGCGGTGGGGGCAGTGGGGGTAGTAAGAGCGGTGGCGGTGTGCGCAGTGGCGGCGGTGGTGGTGAGGGCACTGGGGGCGTGGTGAGGTAAAGCGGGAAGAACGGTGAGAGCGGTGGGGGGTGGGGGTGGTGAGGGCGGTGAGGGTGGTGAGGGCGGTGGGGGCGCGGGGGGGTCCGGGCACACACTGGCAGCCTTTAAATACTCTTTAAACACCTACAAATGCAGCGGTGCACGCGGGGGCGGTGGTGGTGGTGAGGGCGGTGGCGGCAGTGGGGGTGGTGAGAACGGTGGCAAGAGCGGTGGCGGTGGTGAGGCGGGAGCGGCACTCCACACAGTACTACAACAAGGGCAGTGAGAGTGGTGTGGGCAGTGGCGGCGGTAAAGGCGGTGGGGGTGGTGAGAGCAGTGGTGGTGGTGGTGGTGGTGAGGGCACTGGGGGCGTGGTGAGGGCAGTGGGTAAAGCGGTGAGAACGGGCAACTTTTATTTGCTTACTCTCTAACACACTCCCCAGACATCGAAGGGCCGTGGCGGCGGTCAGGGTCTACGAATACAGCGAACTCCACAGTACTACAAGGGCAGTAAGAGTGGTGTGGGCAGTGGCGGCGGTAAAGGCGGTGTGGGTGGTGAGGGTGGTGGTGGTGAGGGCACTGGGGATACAGCGGTGAACGCGGTGGAAGTAGTGAAAGCGGTGGGGGCGGTGGCGGTGAAGCGGTGGCGGCAGTAAAGGTGGTTAGAGCGGTGGCGGTGGTGAGGGCGGTAGCGGCAGTGGGGGTGGTGAGAGCGGTGGGGGCGGTGGGGTCGAGCACACATTGGCAGGTTTTTATTCTCTCTACCCACCTACAAATACAGCGAACTCCACAGTACTGCAAGGGCAGCAAAGTGGGGTGAGAGCAGTGGGGGTGGTGGTGGTGAGGGCACTGGGGGCGTGGTGAGGGCAGTGGGTAAAGCGGTGAGAACGGACAACTTTTCAGACATCGAACACACCTCTCGGGATATCACTGGCGCCGCCCGCCACAGGGGTCGGCGGATGAGCACGGTTGTATCGTTCTTTACTCCAACGCATCATATAAGTCAAGACGCTGCATTTGTTTGGAAACAACGGTTGAAGCTGAAAGCCAAATATGTTCCTGGCAGGGAGCCTAGGGCCTAGGGCAACTTGACACAAGGAGGGCACATCCAAGCGCCCGGTGTCTTTCGCCCTGAGCTTATCAGCTTATCTACCCGAACCAGACCCGGTCCGAACAGCAGCAGACCAGGAGTTTATGTTTCTTCTCCAAAAGATGCTGTAAGGCGATTCACTGAGAGTACAAACGGTTCGGTAAAGAGGAAGACTAGACTAGACTGACCACAAAAAGAAGAACAACTTGAAGTTTACAGGTAAAGGTTTGACGAGAATTCGGGCATGAAATGGAGAAAGGGCACTCAAGAGGAGGGTGCAGCGACTGCTGAAGCAGTGAATTGCCATATGTTCCCTGCTGCTGCTTGAATTTGTGCTCTAGGGGTCTCAGAGTAGCGCTTCCACACGTTGCATCGTGCCTTGAAGCTGTAGCGACATGGGGCGAACGCAAGCCCCACTTCGCACAGTGGCACTTCTATGCATGTCCGGCATCTGGAGCCTGGTACTGCCTGCCAGGGCCCCAGGAAAGAGCTTGTAGACTGCCGTGCATGCAATGCCGTGCAACTATCTTACGGTTCTGTTCTGAATGCTGTGAACGATGTTACGAGCGCCCCCATCACACTCTCTGGCAGCAATGCACGGTTTCAGGTTTCGTTTCTGTGCACCACCAGCTTCTCAGCAGCAATGGCTGTGGCTAGTATGGCACACTGAACCTATGCAGCTACAATAGCTCCGCGTGTTTGTCACTGAGGCAGGCGAAGAGCCATGCCGACTGCTTTTCCAAAGCTTGGTCGGAGACCCCATGTCTGTCTCCATGCCGGTGTCCCTGATGACCTAGCAGGCGTCACTAGGCTCCACTCTGACTCTGCGATTTGCTGTCAGCCTTCAAGTCAGGGGCAGCTTCGGCACAATTTTCTTGCCTGCTCTCACGAGGTCAGGCTCCCGAAATACGTGGAGATCTCACAAGAAGCACTCCTGGCAGCAGCGGTTGTGCAGAACAAGTGCTTCTTCGGCACATAGATCACGAGTTGTACTTCTAGAAAGCACGGGTTTTGTAGGGTTTGGCCGTCGAGGAAGGATGACTTGCAGAAGTTGCTGGATGCAGGCATGGCGTGTGCTGTTCCCGAGCTGTCCACATCTAAGTGTCAAGCCGACTCGTGCAGGGGCCCCGCTGGAAGCTATTTCCGGCAAGGGCCGAACCGCCCTGGCGTGTGCAGCAGCCGCATGGCTTCAATTTGCAACAGCGCGTGGCCGTCCAGAGACGCTGTCTCCTTTGCATGCAGAATCGCCTGACGAAATTTCCAATGTGCCGAGTGGGGTTAAAAGATTGAGGGTAGTAGCATCAGCCACTTGCTGAGACTCTGCAATGACAATCTATTGGTTCTTTTGCATGAAAAGTAGAATGATTCGCTAAACCTGGCTGACGCCTCCATTTACTACAAATGGGAGCCAAGCCTCAGACTACACGCCAACAGCCACAAATTCTGTACTGCAAACCTTTTACACAGTACCTACCATCGTAATCAAGTTAGAATTACTGTACATACCCTATAGATGAGCTCGATGCATTGCTATCGGCACCCAGGACGAAAAGCAACAACCATTTCGGTGATTTGCTGGATTGGGAACATGCCTCGACCAACGCCGATTAGCAAAAACCCTCAGCAGGCCGCCAACTGAGAAGAAAACATCACTGGGACAACGAGAAGATGAAAGCCGAAGCCACCACGGCTAACTAGTGTAGAAGGGAGGGGCCTGTAGATCAGGCGTCGGAATTCATTTCGACGACAGGGCGTTGAAACTAAACACACAGGGCCCTCCATTCTATATTTCCATGCTTCGGACCCCCCTCGATTCTACAATTATGTTGGGGTAGCCAAGATGAAATGCAGGAGAACCGACATGTGAAAACCCAACCTTCGCTGCTGGACCGAAGGAAGCGTCGTTGATCTCGTCATTTGTTTCAGGCTGTGGAATCTTAAAGAGACCTCCTGCCGCTGGAAAACCAATGGTCAAGCAGAATCTTGCGAAACGGCAGCCTGAGCCCACAAGCCTATTCTCCGAGAGCACGGGCCATTTCCCGTGAACAAAGCAAACCCCAATCTGGAGCTGAGAGGGCAGAAGCCCTCGTTTCTACATTTCCTGGCAGTCAATGCTCCCCGCCTGAATTTCCATCCGGAAGAATCGTGGTCTGACCCCTCCCCCTCCATTCTATAGTTCCGGCCACACTGAAAATGTAGAAACCAGTGGCCCCTCTGCGACTTGAGTAAGAGGTAAGTAAGGCACATCAGGTTTTCAACTCAGGACTCAGACAAGGTCGTCCGCTCGCTGTCCCTCTTGTTATTATGGTATTTGGAGATGCCATGGTCATGAACACTTGCCTGCCACTGCATAGACACAATACAGCACGCAAAAACCAGATCAGGATCGCATCGAGGCATGTCACTTGAGGATTGCGACGAGTATTGAAGGTACCAGCCCCCACCCATATCGATGGGGAAGTGGACTAGCCCGAAGGTGTAGATGATTTACATGTACGAACCCAGTATCGGCGTGTAATGTTACATGATGTTGCATGGCAAACCGAGACAAACTCTCCCTACAAGGCCACATCTTGAAGGCTCCATTTGACGATTAATGAAGTTTGTACTCTGCGAAGTGCCGTAATTATCCGAAGAGCTGAAAATGCAAGCTGGCTCTTTGAGACATACGAGATGCTTGCTGGTATGACTTACCAGCACTGAGCTGATGAACAACGCCTTCTGCGTATTGGGCATCTTGCAAACAGAGCTAGCAACCGCGAGGTGCCTTTCAAACACGTGGGTCATTGTCTAGGCTTCTGGTTCAACGATATGTTGCGGAACACATCGCTCAAGCTTCCGGCGGAAAGTGAAGCAGCGATCAATCGGCACCGGCACGCCGTGTTCTTTTGCTCGGATCCCACCTTGGTATAGAGATCTAGGGTTTCCGACATTTTTCCATTGTGAGGCAGGATCAAGCGAGCGAGAGAGACCAAACGCCCGCAAACAACCAAGCAAGCAAGGGAGAGAGGGAGAGACAGGAGTGACACGAGCCTGGAAAAGTGGCCCTCGTGCCAGGACATTCGTCCCCACATCCGGAGCAAGCAAGCAAGAGAGCTCCCCTTCCCCCAGTGCCGGCGAAAGAAAGAGAGACCACTACGAGAGCTGTTCTATTTCCTGAACGGTTGCCGGGTTGCCGCAACCTCAGCACAGAAAACCTGCAAGCTAAAGCCAGTAACTTGAGAAATTGTCCATGGCCAAGGCCACAACCAAAACTTTGGCAAGGGGAATCATCGGAAGTCAGAGTGGTACTTGCCAGCCCTTTGTTTATCCGATGCCACGCATGCATTGCTCGAGTCGTAAAGGCGAGAAAGATTTGGATGGACATGTTTGTTCCTGCTCACACTTGAGTCCCAGCAGCAAGCAAGCACCAGCAGCTGGCTCAGAGCACTATTACTCTGACAAGCCCTGATCTGACCGTCCACCGTGGTGTGCTGCAAGGTGGCGGATGATGAGGAGAGCGCCCGACTGCTGCTGGACAAAGGTGCTCAACTGGAGGAGAGCCGGATGATGGTTTGTGAAGGTCTTCAAGTCTGCATGTTTTGCGCAACGACTTAAACCATGTGCTGGGATGCAGTCGTCGACCTAAGTCAAAACTGGATGCATGCTTGATTTGACCTCGTGCACCTGTTTCTTTGCCGGTACGCCTGCAGTGGCTTTGAAGGCATTGGACGATTCTGGTCGGACGCCTTTGGCTTTGGCTGCTGCCTATGGGAATTTCGCAGCTGAGCAGGAAGCAGTCTTCCGGAGCATCGTCGCTTGCTTGCTGTGCGATTGCAACGAATTTCTGTCCTCGTCCGCCTCGTCCTAGGCCCTTGTTCGCTTCTTCGTGGAAGCCGGGGCAAACATAGAGGCGAGAGACAACGGAAAGATGACAGCGCTCCTTTGGGCTTCCGTGAATGGCAACGAAGGCCGCCCGCGGGGCGTCGCGGGGCGCAGCCCCACCCGCATGCCCCACGAATGCTGTGAGACATTCTTAGCGTTATAGCACTAGCAGCTAGCAAATGCCTGGCAGATGTTGTTCGGTTCCTTCTGGATAACGGCGCGGACATCCACGCTGAGGATGAAGATGGCATGAGCTTCGGATAAGTATCTGCAGGACATGAGTAAGACAGGGCAAATGCAGGTCGTCATTTTGCACCCTAACGCTATTGTGCCAAAGCCAAGGACAGCACTGAAACTGGCAACTTTGGGTAAACGCGACGATGTCATGAAGCTGCTACTCTTGGTCGAGGCGTTTGGCTCAGATGTAGTTTTCCGCCGAAGCATGATGAAGCCCGTCGATGCAAATCGGCCAGACATGCGAGAGTCAGAGTTGCCCGGCGGACTTTGCAATGTCAGGTTGATTTCCCACAGCAGCTGATGTGAGCGTGGCACGGATAAGCCCAGTGCCATGCCTCACAAAGCAAACACGGGAATGGACGAGTGAGGGCTGCCTTTGCTGTTTCCTCCCATTGGCCCAGTCACGACGAAAAGCGCACAGCGTGTAGGAACTGCATACAGTCCTTGATCCACGGCCTTCGTCGTGACTCGTGCTTGGAGTTGCCCCGCCTATGGAGGTCAATGTGCCAGGTGATCACTCTCCGTGTGTACATACTCGCCTCTTCCAAAGTGTGTGATCTAGATACACACACACTAATTTCAGGCATGCACAGGCACCAGAGCTTTGAGCGGTTGGTTGTGTTGCACATGTCGATGTCCATTCGGCAACGCACCCATGTCTTCTCGATTGGTGCCAACCCTGAACTACCATATGTCGCGCCGGTATATCCAGCGCAGAGCTGTCAGCATGAGACAGCTGGTTCCTGTCAACGCTGGCAACGGCCTTCGAGGAAAAACACGAGAGCAGCCTGAGGATCCGGGAGGTCTCATGAGAGATGAACGAGTCGATAGCAGCTATTCGATAGCAGGTGCAGGCGGTACAGGCATAACAAGGTAGGCGGGTTCACGCATCGATCCCACCGTGGTGTTGTTTCATGCCGCATCTAGAGCTGGAGTATGCCTCAGTGAATACGTGGGAGTGGAAAGTTTCCGGCTGCGCATGGTCTGAAGTTACGCTGGCATGCGAGAGACGCAGTGCACAGATTTGCGGCATAAAGTGGCACCTTGAGGTTCCTCCAGCGCAGACTGTGCTCAGGCCTGCAAGGTGGTCTTGGACTTTTGCTGTTTCTGACCACTCCTCCAGAGGCTTCAGTGTATTGGGGCGACTTCTGTCGAGGTCAGAAGGCACGCTTTGTGCTTGTTTGAAGCATATTGTAGCAGGCACTTTTTCGCAACTGCTTGTTTGTTCGCTGGGCTCGTTCCTTCGATTGGCCCTTGCAAAATTGCAACAGTTCTGCCGAACGCCTCGGAACGAGCTACTGAAGGCTATGTCGAGCATCAAGCGGACCCTCAAGGGGCCAAAATTTGGATGTTGGCCAAAACATGCCTTAAGCTGCACAACCACACTTATGAAACCAGGCGCCGGCTCGTATTTGGTTCGGTCTGTGATAGACTGCCCAACGACGCAAGCAACACAGCTCGGAGTGGAGGCCAATGCACAAGCAGCCACAGAACGCAAAACCACAACTGAGTTTCAAGAGTGTTCTAACACTGTCCGAATATTGACTCGACAATGCGCGGAGCTGGAGACAGTTTGTGTGAGAAATGCTGTTTTTATCGGTGCATTTCTGGTGTTGGCTATGTTTGAGCTTTGGTGAACGAATAAAACATGTCATGCAACACAACACACAAACATGATGGGCAAAAGGGGACGCACGAAATCGGCTGGAGGCACTGCAGCATGGTCGCCAAAACCATGCGCGTCTAAGCGTCCCCTTATTATAGGACCGTCCTTGGTTCGCAGGCACGTGGTCCCATACAGGCCCGGCACTGTGACATAAACCCTCTCTGTCCTGGGAGTTTTACTACACCAAAGTGTGCACATGCTTTACAACTGCAGAAGCGACTGTAAAGTGTCAACTTGGCCCCGGGTCGGCCTGCAATAGCTGCTGCAAAGGCGTTCTATTGTTGAAGTTCCCCTCCACCCACCCGAGGAGGAAGTGGACTGCCATCGCCCTCTGTGTGGTGTCGGTGGTGCATTTCTGCACTCGCGCAGTACAGTCCCGGCGAACATGATTCGACGCGCAGACATCTGAAAACGGGGTTTGAGTAGGTTGACTCAGGTTGATGTTTGAGGACAGCGACACGTCCAGCACGTTCCGTTTACACACACGAGTATGCTCGCAAAGGGATCGATTTTTGTGGCCGAAAATACATTATTCTCGTGCATCAGCAATGCTTTTCAAGTGCCATTCATTACTTCCTCAGTCAGATTGCCGTTGCCCAACTCCGTGGAATTTCTGTCGTGTCCAGGATGGATCAGGCATTTGCGAGTGGGAAGAAGGCAGCCGGTATGCTGGGCAGCCGAGCTCTCAGAGTCTGCTTGGCCGGATGGAGTGTCCTGACCTAAGTGTGCCATGCAGGTGGCGAGCAGGATTAATCTCCGGCCATGGAGCTTTGACATCTGACAGTGGAAGTCGGAACTACAGGCACCAAGCAAGATGCCTCCTCAGAGCAGTATGAGCGGAGACGTATCCGACCACGAACTCGCATCTGCAGGGGTCAGTGGGTCCATTCAAAGAAGCATGGCAGTCTGCCCAGCCGAAGCCCCTGCGTGAAGACCTCACGACCAGCGCACGACCAAGGCCGAGGTGTTTACACATGGCCAGATGGTCGCAGCATCCCAAGAAAGTGTCGCTCTGGGAGAAACCTCCTAATTACATAGCTCTCCCAGAATTCTCGGCCTCATCAGGTGAACACCGGGGCCAATACCAGTTGGACACTGCTTCCGGATTCGGTACGTTCACATGGCCATGCCAGCTTGCTTTCCGATGCTGACTCGGGACAGCCATCAGCTTATTGGAACTTATGGGTTACAAGTGCGCAGGCCCGATGGCAAACAGTACCACGGCTTCTGGCACAATGCCCACATTGTCGGTGATTGCCTCTCGAGCGCCTGTCACACGGCGCGAGACATTGACATGTATGATTTCCTCCCAAGGTCCTGGAGTTTTCAGTGCTCCCGGGCAATCCGACAGGCGCATAGCTGCTGTTGCCAGTGCGATCCGTTGAGTCATGATTTCCAGGCCGCTGGAAATTGATGTCAATCTGTTTCCAGCCGATTTGAAGGCCAGCATATGCTGCAGAAGTTGGAGAACTCCAGGATTTTGTGCATTGCTGCTCTGCAATCGCATCCTCTCAGTTAGAGTAGCCTCGATGTAAGACAGAACGGGAGTTCCTGCCATGGCACGTGCTGAGCCGCTCGCAGTTTAGCAGTTGTTCCTTCTGCGCGATACGACTATGACTCGGTGCAAGCGGTGCAAAGCACTGTCACAACTCACTGTTTTCGTCTGAGGTTCTCGCTCGAGAACCTCAGCAGTGTATTGCAAACGCCGCTGGGACCTACTAATGGTAAAATGTCCTACAAGGACATTTCTCTGCAACGCAAGGCATGACTGGTGTTGCTTTGTGGACAGAAGCCATCCCCAGGTACGAAGGACGTGACAAGACAGCCAGGCTCGTACAATTTGCCAGCAGATTTGTGGTTGGACTGACGGCACAAGCTCCTTGACAAGAAACACTGCAGCGAGAGAGAAAGAGAGAGAGAGAGAGAGAGAGAGAGAGAGAGACAGCTCGAACCGAGACCGAGACCAGCGCGCGCGCAGGAGGGGTCCTTGGCCGAGTGCAAGCAAGAGAGAGACAGAGGCCTGGCGAAAGAAAGAAACACAGACAGAGACGATGCTGGCTTTTTTTTGCATATTCGGGTTCATATGTTTGATGTGGCTGACTTCTCCAGGAGCTCTTTCTGTTTGGCACAAGGCTTGCACAGCCGAGCGCGTCCAATCAATATGATGGACAGGGTTCCGCGTGAGCGCGGGTCGTGAGGACCGCGCAAGGCCTTGACCCCAACACAAACAAAGACGACGCTGGACAGATAGGTGCCCCTCAGGGGCGGGCATGGTAGAACCATCATACCATGTCTGCAGACCGGGGCTGTCGGCTGCCCTGGCAAAAGAGAGAGGCGGGGCAGGAAAACGGCCGCTCTCGGCCCGTGTGACCGTGTGACCCAACAGGGCTTCTATCTGCCTCACCCATGGCAGCTACGGCTCAAGAATGACTGTAGGCCCAGAGCAGAGGAAGGGTGAGTGGGACGAAGAAGGACTACAGTTCTCGAGCCTGGGACAGGTGGCAAGGTTGCAATACTCAGAACACAGGCGAAGAAAATTCTGAGGATCATATCTTTCAACCCATAGAACTCAGTGGTTTTACAGCTGCACATCCGAACGCGCCTTTGCCTTGGAGACGGAAGGCCAAAGCTGAAGAAGCTGAAGGGACGAAAAATGAAGCCAAACAAGAGGCAGGAGAGCGAGAGTGAAAGCTGAGTCTGGTGCCCCGCGCTAGCCAGTGGAGCAACTGAGCAACCCACCCCAACATTTGCCACCCAAAAGGTTCACAGCATCAGCCTACCTGGCTTTGCCTAGCAGGCCGAGTAGAGAATGCGGCCAGGGCCCTCTAAGCCCACTCCTGTCGATTCGACTTAGCTGGCTCAGGTTTGCAGAAATCGGCTACGGCTCAAGTGGTTTTGGCTCAAGTTTGGGCTCGAGACTCTACTGTAGCAGCGACAGATACCCAGAGACCGTTCGCCAGTCCTTCTGCTTCCCGCGTCCTCTTCTTTTCGCCTTGTCCTGTTCCGCTCTCTCCCTCTCTCTCCCTCTGTTTCTCTCTCCTCTCCTCTGTATCACTTCTTGCACTGCCTGCCCTTCCTTGAGCACTGACTGCCCTTCCCTTGCACTGTCTGCCTTTCCTTCTCACTTTTTTTCTCTTGATCTTCAGAACCACTCTCACGAGGACATGTCTCGTAACGAGCCATCTGAACAGAGTGAGCGAGGACGAGGGCGAGAACGTAGCCGTGGGAGCGACAAGATAGAGCGAACAAATCGAGCCAATGACCGAACACAACTTCCCAGAGTCGGTCCTACCATCTCAAGTCACCATAGCGTGCTCGAGAACCAACATCATCCAGAGTCTAACCGACCCCCCAGTTCTGACCCCGGGTCCCGAAGGTCCCCCGACCTCAAGAAGATCAAAATCGAGGCCAAAGAACAGGCAGACACTCAACCTGACTCGGAAATGCCTGAAATCGCAGCCGCAGTAACCCCAGCTCCTACCTCAGCCCACCCTTTTCTCAGGCTTGATCATAGTGCGGCGTTCGGCCCCCACGAGGTCTATGACCTTACTTCAGGAGACAATCAACCCGACGACGATGAGCTCAACACCAGCAAGCTGCCGGAACAACCATCAGGACAGGCAGCAGGCCCCGGCAATGG